AGCCGTAGTAATGTCTTGAATAGACGCTTGACACCAATCATTATAGCTTTAGGGTTCAACATACAATCATAGACAATTTTTTATGCTTGCGAGCGATTCATTGTGTGCACAGGGTACAGCCGAAACATAGTGTATGGATCCAGAACGAGATTTTAGTCTACAGACCTCCACTCCCCCGTTTTGGCCCCTGTTTCATAAGGACACTGCCCTAAGGACAGAGGCATTGGTTTATGATAATGGATTTCGCCGAAACCCACTATCTGGTAGCTCTCTCATTTGTCCTCTCTGATGTTTGTAGCGCTCGTGCTACTTGTCAGGCCTATCACATCACGATAGGAGACACGTGTAGCATGCTGAAATCATGCTCTCCTTTCTTATCCCCAACCTAGTGTTTAATCAAGCCATGTATTCACAGGGAGGTGGCACGGTCAAACATTGGTGGAACCTAGCCCCTCTATTGGAACCCTGAGTCACCTTGACATCTCGCCAACCTTAAACCATCCCTGTAGCTTCTCTCTTGGTGTTTGCCTTGCTTGCCTGGTGTGTTGCTGGTGCAACCTCCTGTGCACGTATGATTCCGAGTCTCCTTGGCTTTGCATCAGTCTATGTCAGTAGCTTTGAGGACAAGAGTCATCTGAAAGGTACTGAGACATAGCGTGTTAAAGACATATATGCAGACTGCAATAGAATGCGCTCTCTCTCGTTCACTCAAGGACTCCCTTATCGTTCCATCATCATAGTCTGTGATGTATCACGTGTGCACACGATGTCTTCCACGCTGTGGGTTCAGGTAGCTGGAGGGTGTGGGGCTCAGGGGTACGGTCCCGAGATCATTCTCCTTCAGAACTTGGGCCTTTTGTGTGTGCACCCTGGCTGCTTGCGGTTGTATCCAGTGTCCCTTGGCGTCTGGTCCAGTCACACTTATCCAAGTTACCAACCTTGACATGTAGTTGAAATCATGCTTGTATGCAACGCAACTGCATGCAACAACAGCACTCCATGCTACCTCCGCTGAGGGCCTTAGGAAGCGCACTCAACCCTGCTAGATGGGAGTCCAAGTGCCGCCATGCCATGCATGCCGCGTTCACGAGTTGTCTTCGAATGTGCTTTCTTCCAGCTACCTGAACAGGAACGTCCTCTCTGGCGATGTGTACGGCATCACACGCAATATGACCAGCCTTGTCACGCTGCACGTGCATGGGGGGAATCGCATATGGCATGCACCATGTGCTATTTGCCATGTCCCAGGTCCCATGTGCCAATGGGCCATGTGCCATTTGTTACTTGCCTTGGTGTGTTGAGGGGGTCTTGAAAGAGAATTCGATTGGGAAGGACTACAGATAGGACTGAAAATGCTTGTTACACCAAGGCTCATCTGCTTGCGCGCTGGTAATTGCTGACCAGCATCAAACACATTCTTCCAACAGAACACTGCATCTTTCCTCTGCACCACCCTGTGCGTGTTCACTTCTCACCCACTCTTGTCACACCCCCGCTCATGCGCCATTTTCCCACCCACTCCTCGCCTTGGCTCTCCCTGCCCTCGCCCCCCCTTCTTTACAGTGACATGTCAGCCAACCAGTGACAGGGTGACTGCCATTGCCCCTGTCGCCCTACCTGCAGCCAACCAGTTCCCACCCTACCTACCCTACACCCACCGCAACTTCTTCTTCCACGGGACCATCATCCCGCCCGAGGCCAACCACACCTACCTTGGCAACGCCTTTGAGCATTGTCTGCTCAACGCATCCCGGGCGCCTGGAGACTACTTGGAGCAGAGGAGTGCAGAGGAGTGTGGTGCATTCTGTGGGGTTGCTGCTGGGGATTGCCAACCCCTGTGCAGCGGGCATGGCATGTGCTCCTTCAGTGAGTCTGTGCAGGAATCAGTATACACCTGTGATAGCAACTTCGACAACCAGGCCGGACTGCCCTCGTGCTCCTACAGTGGTGTGTATACACAAGTTTTGGGAGAGACTGAGTGATCTGGTGTAAGAAGCAGATGGCACTCTCTTGTTGTGCCCTTTGATTACGTTGCATACCCTGCTCATTCCTCGTAATTGTTACCATTACAGCTGCATCGCAGTTGAAACCTCTCGAACTCCTGGTGTTGATTTATTTACATCCAAGCATATTTCTTCTGTTCCGTTTGCACCCATCTGCCTTGCCTCGCTCTGCATATTCCTGCAATTCTCCCTTCAACCAAATCATCACAGACAACAGCAGTCTCCCTGGCAGGTGCAGCAGCGCAACCATTCAATGGCACCATCATCCTCACGCCCCCCACCAGCAACACGTCAGGAGCAGCACAGTGCAGCGCCCATCTGCCTCTTCCTTTTCATCGACAACCCTGGCCCGTATAGCACGCCCTTTGTGTTCAATGCCTTCTTTAGCTTCGCCAGTCAAGTACATGGGGGGGGAAGGTTTTGTGTCAGTCGTAGGTCACTTTCGGATCACACTCAGATTGCTCTAGAAACTCTCATAATGAGAGTCTCATATTACTTTTAGGCCACTCTCAGGTCACTCTCAGGTCACTCTCAGGTCACTTTCAGGTCACTCTCAGGTCAAACTCAGGTCAATTTCAGGTCAATTTCGGGTCAGTCTCGTATCAGTTTCAGGTTGGTCTTAAGTCAAATAAGGTCAGATTCAGGTCAGTCTAAGGTCAAACACGGGTCAGTCTTTTGGTCAGTTTCTGGTCAGTCTCATGTCAGCCTCATGTCAGTCTGAGGCCAGTCGTGGGTGCAGGTATGATGCAGGGCCATGCCTTCCACAAACACGAGATAGGGATGAGCAAAGGGCGAACACGAACATGTTCGTCTTCGCCCCTTGTCGAACACCCTCTTTTGCCGAACCGAACAGTGTTCGGTTCGGCGAACAGTTTAGGAAAAAACAGGTGTTCGCTGTTCGCCTGTGGAGGCGTGTTCGGGCGAACCTCGAACACTGTTCGTGTTCGTCGCGGGCAAATTTCAGCAGCGGCCCGAACACGAACGTGTTCGGGCGAACATCGAACACTGTTCGGCGAACGATTTGAGCTAAAAAACAAATCCTGTTCGGTTCGCCTCGAACACGTTCGAGACGAACCGAACAGGTGTTCGCCACCTTGCTCATCCCTAACACGAGATACCCACAATCTCCCACACTACCCTTTGTCCTCCCCCACCCTACCGTCAGCAACCAACTGACCTACGTACCATTGGCGCTTTAGCCCCAACAAGCCATATTTAGCAGCCACAAGGCCAAGATTGGCACCCAGAACAATGAGCAGGGGACTCTCGATGCTGAACTGGCTCTCGTGAGAGGTTAGGTACATGATTAGAAAGTGTGCCCTTCTTCTTAGCATTCAGATTCCTCACCTCCCTGCGTTTTTTCCTGCCATGATAAACGTACGTTCATGATTTCTTGGCGGTTGAAGGCTGAGTTCGTAGTCAAGCTGCAAGGATACGTTATGGTTCAAACTACAAATTGTATCAATAAAGATTTCATTAACCTTGGACTGTGCGTGCTCCATCCATTCCACAACACAGTAACTTGCACTGTTCCAAATTAAAATGGTTCACAACCATCTGCAGTGCCTTGTTTGAATGATGTGTTTTCATCTAGTATAGAGAGAAATTAATCAGAAATGTTACAAATTGGTTAGCTTGGAAGATGTCACGTATGTGAGCACAGTCAGTGACAAATCAGGCTAGGAGATATAATCAAAGACACCATTTATATATGCACAGTTCACAAATATCTATCAAGCTTATGGTCGGTACGGTAGCACTTTTTATGAACAGGCTTTATAATTTCAAAACAGCACTAGAAGTCTAGCGCAAGCATCTTGCTCTTGCACAGGTTCTTCTAACCTAAAATATCCATAGTGCATGGAGGGAGTGGACGAGAAAATGGTGAAGGAGTCCAAAGGCTCAATGCAGGAGCGCATGCATAGAAAGCAAGACCATAAGAAACAGCGACTACTTGGAATAAAATGATTGGGAAGAGTGGGGGGTATGAGAGGAGTGGGGTCTATGACATAATTGGGGTGTGTAAACGGAGTTGGGGACATGAGAGGAATTCGGGGTATGGGAGGAGTGCGGGGATGGGTGGAGAGGGGGGTATGAGAGGCATGGCTGGTAATATAATGGTGGTGGTTATGAGGTGAGTGGGGTGTATGAGAGGAATGGGGGGCATAGAGGTATGGTGGGTATGAGAGGAGTGAGGGGTATGAGAGGAACCGGGTTTATCAGAGGAGTGGAGGTTTGAAAGGAGTGAAGGTTATGAAAAGAGGGGATGTGCGAGGAGTGGGGGATTCAAGAGGAGGCTGGTATGAGAGGAGTGGGGGGTATAAGAAGAGTGAGGAGTAACAGAGGGGGTATGGTAGGAGTGTAGGGGCGTGAGAGGAATATAGAGGCATGACAGAAGTGGGGTTTACGAAAGGAGGGAGTTTATGAGAGGAGTGGGGAGTATAATACCGTCATTGCCCGGTTAGTAGACAGTGTTGAATAGTAGACAGGGGTTGTCTATTATCTGGGTGTCTCTTTTAAACAAGCTCGCCTCATTATAAGACACCTATTTGTGTGTACGCGTTAAGCCAGTGTAGAGGTTAGGGGCAATCGTATAGCGAGGGGATATCTTCTAAACAGTTCTTTCTCCATTTATACAGAGGAATGTTTAGCTTTTCAAGCTTGATGTTTGAAGAGCGATATTCTGTCTAAAAACCCCAAAACAACCCTATACGTGCTTCTGTCAGAATCCAGAAAATCATGCATGCAACAGCTAAAAGTTTCAGGAAGAAGGTGACAAGCATAAAATCTGGCCCATGGACAAGCTGAACCTACAGTGTACTACACAGCCCAATTTTTCTGTCCCATTTTTGTGCTCATCAAAAGATGCTACCAGTATCCCTTCCACAGCCTCTGTCAGTGTTCCTAAGTGTCCCATACCATGTTTTCATATGAAGCAAACAATTGGCATCAGAAGCACAAGGTAAACCAGTAAGCTGCATGTGAAAACAAACTTGATTACGTGGAAGAGCCACTTGGCATGCCCCCCTCGCGCTCCGCACGGGCCATTTCAGCAGTGAAGCTGGAGGAGCCAATGGAGCTCCCAAGCTCCATGTCAATGCGAGATTTGGCCTCGCCCACATGGCCCTCATGTGCTCCGGATGCCTCCTCCTTCAACTTCACCAGCTCCCAAAGCACTTGATTCATGGAGGGGCGGGAGGCTACAGGCATGGCCGTGCAGGAGAGGGCAAGGCGAGCCCAGCGCAGCACCAAGTCATCTGGTGCGTCCAAGTGAGGGTCCTTGAATGCCAATACAGCACCGGAGTCCACCAACGGGGCCACCTGCGAGGTTAAATGCATAAATCACATGGAATTTGGTGATACAAAATGTTCACAGAGTTTCACATTAGAATAAAACCTGTGAAGAATGGTAGAAATGTGGCAACGCAGAGATTGATGGAATGATGTATGATCATAGGAAATTAGTGGTACATAGAAAGCAGGATGATAGGAAGGTGAATCCTATTACAGATACAAGGTGTGATTCAAAGGTAAGTGCTCGTCTTAATCATTGCAGCATGTATCCTGTTGGGAATGGTGGTAAGGAGAACATGAATTGGCCTACATATGTTTGGCTAAGGGCAACAAGGAAACATTGATATTATCAAGCAAACTCACTACGCAGTGTAGCTGGCTTTCTCATACGTTGTGTTACAAGATCTGCCATCCTTGGCATGATACACTTCTGTCTCTCACCCATTGTTTGAGATTGATCTGGTTTTCCTGTGTTACATGCACAGCCTTGCGCGCCGTGATAACCACCAGCGTCACCATGCCAAAACTGCAACCCGTCAATAAACAAAGGCATCATACTTGAAATCACGCTCAGATGTACAAAAGCTTTATGGTCACAATGAAATTTGTTTCCCAATCATTCCACAAGTGATCGTCACGCAAGCCCCATCACCAAGCATCACCAAGCTACTCGATTGGTAAGAATGCCTGGAAATGGCTTCAATGTCAGGCATGGACCTTCTTTGAGTGAAATAGAAATCACTGCAAGCCCGAAACCCAAACCCTATCTTCCCTATAAGAAACGAAACTCATGAGCATTTCTCATCAAACTTGGAAGCCTCCTTGAACAGTATTCTCATGCCAAAGTGCTCATCTGCTAACCTTCACTGTTTTCTCATGCCATTATAACTTGCATGGATTTGGTAGCATAACCTACTCTGCTCACCTGTGCCAATCTGCTCACCTGTGCCAATCTGCTCACCTGTGCACATCTGCTGCTGGAGTGGCCTTATGAGACTTGAAATACGCAGGGTCCACATAGCCCGGTGTTCCCATCACTCGTGTGGCAGCCACAGACGTGCCCATAGCAGTGCCCCCACTAAGCTTCACAAGCCCAAAGTCTGCAATCTTGGCCTGCCCATGGACAACAAGAGCATTGATGTGAAAGATTCAGAGCATGCGAGGCGATGCAAAACACCACATGATAGTTGCAAAGGGATGGATACGAGTAGGCATCTTTCACCATGTACAGCAAGGCCTACAACAATATTGACATGCCTGCATCTTTGCATCAAGGAGAATGTTGGCAGGTTTGATGTCGCGATGCACAATGCCGAAGTCATGAAGATACTGCAACCCCTTTGCCACTCCAATCAGAACGTCAAGCCTTTGACGAAGCGAAAGAGGATGGGAGACACCAGAACCAATCCAGCTCTCAAGGTCGTGGTTGGGCATGAACTCGTAAACGAGGATCTGCTCCATGAGTCGTGTGGAGAGGTCGAAGTCGATGCAATAGCCCAATAGACGCACAAGATGCGGATGGTGCTTGCTTGCCATCTCCTTCACCTGAGAGGCAAAACAGTAAACATATCAAAGGAGATTGAATAATCAGACCACCAGCTATGCTTGGGGTTGGCAGAAGAAACTAATGAGAAACGTGCCACTAACATATCAACAAAAACTCACACCATGGTACCTCTCTTTGGAAGTCGTTCGTGAGCACTCGAGCTCGCTTGACTGCCCAGGCTTGATTGCAATCGTGGGGCGACACACCCTTGTAAACATCCCCAAAGCTACCACTTCCTATCCTGTTCCCCTCTGCCCAATCTCCTGTGGCCTTAGACATCTCTGCCAAAGAGTACTCTCGACACACGTATGGCCGTGCTGCCTCCATCTCCACCACAAAATCATCACCCTGCATCCCTTGTACTGCTGGTAATGGTAGCGCTGCTGCGGCAGCTGCTGCAGCTGCTGCGGCCTCCCCTTCCGCTGCTGCTGGGTCCTCATCCTCATTATTTGGTACTGCAAAGAGATGTAAAAGATGGTGAACGTGAAAGAGAAGACCGATAATTCAAGGGGCCTGGGAATTTAAACCACCTACTCTGGATTGCTAATGACCCAGGAAGGACCAGCAAGCACCATTGCTTCATTCGTTGATTCCTGACAAGTCGAGGTTAAGGCTGGATGAATTTCTACAAGAAGGTGAATTCAGTCACATCCATGGTGAACAGTTTCGCCAACTTTTTGTACTGCCATCTCAACACCATACCTGTGTGGCTGTGTGATACCATGGCAATGAACCCCAATCCAGATATCCAGCTTGAATTTTGATCGTTCAACTAGAACCAAACCTGCCCAGTTCGACCCAGACCCATTATTCCGAACTTGGGACTAGGCAATTCACATTCTGCAAAAAAAAAAAAAAAAAAAACTAGCCAGTCTGGTTGTCTCATTTCCTCATGACTATTTCGCATAGAGCGGCAGGCAAAAGACAGTGCCATTACATGCAATTATGTGGGGTTTTGCGCCGCAACCCAAAAATAAGGTTCGGACCAGTGATTCTGAGTCTTTAACCCAAAACTCATGAGTCAGACCCGACCAAGAAGAAGGCTTGAAATTTGGGAGGAACTAGAATGTTCCATGGTGAGAAATTGCACATGCATTTGTTGCTTTTACTCTTGGATTTTTTTATGATCTTCTGATTTTGATGATACTCTGATTTTCTTTCGATTGCCTGGCGTTTGCCTTGTTATTGCTTCATCTAGGCTCAGCATCTACGTAAATATCTTACCTTGAAACAAAATGTTATTTATTGATTTCTTGCCATCCACATTGGTGCTAGTATTGTCTCCTCCTGCTGCCCCTTTGGTGCGGTATCGCTTCCACAGAAGCCAGGTCAGCAGCACCAACAGCACGAGGACAGCCACAGTGCCAGCAGCAGCAATGCCAGCAATGGCTCCGCCGGATAAACCGCCTCCAGTTTGGGAGAGAGAGGCTGTAGGCTCACTGGGAGATGACGTTGGAGGAGGTGGAGAGGGGTTTGGCACTGGCGATGGGGAGGGTGTTGGCACTGGCGACGGGGAGGGTGTTGGCACTGGTGATGGGGAGGGTGTTGGCACTGGCGATGGGGAGGGTGTTGGCACTGGCAACGGGGAGGGTGTTGGCACTGGCGACGGGGAGGGTGTTGGCACTGGCGACGGGGAGGGTGTTGGCACTGGCCACGGGGAGGGTGTTGGCACTGGTGATGGGGAGGGTGTTGGCACTGGTGACGGGGAGGGTTTCGGCACTGACGATGGGGAGGGTACAGTTATGGGGTGGAAAGATAGAGAGAGGGAAGGGAAAAGGCAATCAAACATGAGGATGGCGGTTGGCTTGGTGAAAGTGGATGTGGCATCAGGCACAGTTTGCATGGGGGAAGGAAGCAAAGGAAGGCAATGAAGGATGGAAACATGTATTCTTGAGTCAAAGTCATGAGGATGCATACAACAGAAGCACATATTGAGGAGTAGCGAAGCTGTAATTGTTACGGCACCTGACAGTGGAAAAGCTAGCTAAGTAGGTGGCTATGCACTGTTCATCCTCTTAGCGCTAATGAGAGCAAAGCAAAAATGGGCTGTGAAAGCAGCAGCCACCTGCATAAGGTTAGCCTTACCTGGTGGTGGCTTGTCACATGTGGTGCAAAAGGAGCCGCACTGGCTGCAAAAAGCACTTGAATTGGTCTGTGGGACCACGCAGCTGCTGTAGTTAGGTGGGCATGTGATTGCAGTCGAGGATATGTTCCTGCATGCGAAACGGGTTCTCGAACGGAGCATGTGACCACAGCTGCATATGGAGCGTTTTCAAACTATGGATCGGGAATGGGTTTCAGCTCTAACTAAAGCGCTTTGAGGTTGCTATTTGAGATTTATGGTAACACATTGTAATACTTTACCATGCCAAGTAGACATGAGCACAAGGGCGAACACTTGACTGTTTCTGGCCCAGCATGTTCAGGGCGAACATGTTCGTGCTTGCCTTGTGTTTAGGGCGTTTAGGGAAGAAACCAGCTGGATATATAAACTTGCTGAAACCGCCGCCCATATCATAAATAGTAGCCCATTCTACACATCCTGGGCTAGTGCACGGATGTTGAAAAGTTGAACTTGAACATGCACATCCTGGGCTAGTGAACATGTTCGGGGCGAACTTGAAGGTGACGTGTTTGCCTTGCATCGAACACACATGTTCAGCGTACCGAACATGTTTGTGTTCGCCCGAACACTTCCAGGGAGGAAGGTGGAGGAAGGTGTTCGGGTGTTCCCCTTTGGGAGGTGAACACCTTGATGTTTGCCCGAAAACCAACATGTTTGGGGCGAACATGTTCGTGTTGGCCATATCAGCAGTCTTCAAGACACATAATCCTGGATGGTGGATTTTGGCATCCAGGTTGGTGTGGCTTTACTTGGTGGACGTTTGGGAGTGAAGGAAATAAAAAAAAGTAGATTTTTGTTCCACCACAACTATTTCATTAGCGTCTAGGTACCCTAGCTGCTGGAGCTTGCAGTCTAGGCTGTGGAAGGAGGGTTGGGAAAAAAGGCGAGCTAAAAAATGAGCTTGATTAGTGTGTTTCATCAACCCTTTTTAACGAGCAGATTTGCGTTCGTCGGAAAGGGATGTCGAAACAAACACGAACATATTCGGCCTGAACACGTTGAGCCACAAAAACAAAACATGTTCGAGGCGCACCGAGCAGGTGCTTGCCCTCGTGTTTGTGTCTAACATGTATCCTGTGTATGTCTAATTACATATATCCTGTGTACATAGAATTAGTGTAGACATTAAGGTTTGGTCATATTAGTTATAGGATGTTCCTTGAGTAAATTTTATCAACAGCTAGGTACCCCAATTAAGCGCGTTTCTCAACCTTGAGTACCGGTTCCAGCCTGGACCCACGAAGTTCAACATTGGAAACGCGCTTTGGCAAACTTTGTTACACACATCCCTATCTCGACTGTGGGTGAGTTGAGCATCCATTTGGCACCCCAAGTCCATTGGGGAACAGTTTCTTCACTTGGACCAGCCCAAGTCGCCTCCAAGCTAGCCCTCTTCGAATTCTGTCAATTGGTTCATGTTTTGCTTGTATCCGCTTGCTTCGCTTTGGTTACGCGACATATTTCTCAAGCATTTCTACAAGGCTAAAGTGCCTTACAGGTATGGAAGAAGTTTGAGTTTGCCTATTGTTGGAGGGAGTTGGCCCGTAAGGTTGTTCTGGCTGACGTCACTGCAATGGATGGAAACAACAGATAAAAGACAGAATAGAAACAGTCAAAGCATTGCTAACAAGATACCTAACCGTGCATACATGCAAGAGAATTTACCTGTACAAGGATGGAAACACAAAGGAATAAACCAAAGATTGGTTGATGTTAGGAGACAGTCAGAGGAGATGGAAAAGCCGTGGATTGTGGCAGGGGACGCATATCCTATTAGGCTATTCCAGGTCAACATGGATAAGTTGCAATAGAGATTTTTGTTCACCCAACGTGACAGAGTCCAGTCAAGCATGAGATGCATAACCTGCTTCATGTGAGATATTTCCCAACCAGGCAAAACACATTCCAAAATCAACATAGGGTGTTTGTTGGGCGGAAGAAGGTTAAGCCAAAGGAGTCACAATTCGGCACTAGGTTTTATATATACCTCCAACCTATAGCCAGTACAAGATCTCTCAATGAGCTCAAGTGACCCGACATTGTGTTTCACACTGCATGCATTATGAGTTCCTTACGGTGTCCTGAGGCATGGCTGAAAACCATGCTCACGTAAACCTGGGAAAGAGTGATGTTGAAGTATCAAAGTAAAAATTGCATAAAGGCACGAACCACTTGTTAGGCTGCTCATGCTTCCATTGCAACCCCTCTCATTAGTCATAGCCAAGGGCAGGCCCCAGTTCACCCTTAAAACTGATAAACTAAGGGGTGAATCCACGTTTTGAACAAGCCTAGAATCAAGCTAGTCAAACCCCGCATTGGGAAGCCCCTGCGTGTCAGCATGTGATGGACTCCCCATAGCCTTGTTATGAAACCATCATATTTCCGCTGATGGGCCTTGATGGCCCTGGTGGGCTGTCCCGGCTCTCCTTGCTCATGCCCAAATCAAACAAAAGAACAGCTGAAGCAGTAGTTTGAGGAATGAACCACAGCCATTCAAGCCAAAAGTGAAATTTTATCGAACTTCCTTGATACTGACAGGTTAGTAAGGTTGCTCATGCTGCCGATGGTTGATGGAATAGACCCATTCAGTTTGTTATTCCATAGAGACCTGAGGATGTACACACACGCACAGAGTTCCATCCGAGGAATAAGAGGGATACAGCAAGTGGTTGGGGGGAGAGGAAAGTGGAAATGGAGTCTAAACAGACCGTGAGAGTTGAACACGTAACATTACAACTTACACACACACTCTAATAGGCGGTGTTGGAAGTGGGAGATGTAACGCCCAGATTTGAATGTCACTCGAGGTAGGGATGAGCAAATGGCGAACTCGAACACGTTTGGGTTCGAGTTCGCTCGAACATCAACTTTTCCCGAACCGAACACAGTTCGGTTCGGCGAACAACTTAGGTTTCAGGAGCTGTTCGATGTTCGCCCTTGGGGGCGAACATTTCTTATGTGTGGGCGAACTCGAACATGTTCGAACCGAACATGTTCGAGTTCGCCCTTGGCCACTTTCATTATAGTCACAATAGAGAAACACGGAACCTGGAGGGTTGGGAAGATAGATAGGGGGGTGGAGGTTGTGTATATAATCATGCAACGCACACTAGCATACGACACCATCATGTAGTGCCTATATAAAAGTCAAGTCACTGCCAAATTACATCCTACGACGCCTGCACACCACTGCTACTACCAACAACAGCATGCTCCGCGTCTGAGGTGTCGTCACCACCCACCCCCACCTGCTCCTCCTCCCCCTCATCCTCCTCCCACTCGTCGTCCTCCTCCTCCCCCTCGCCTTCAATGGCGAACTCTGGTGGTGCCTCGCCTTTGCCACGGCGGCCCTCGCCTATCCTCTGTCCTGGGTGTGAGGTGTACCATGATCTGAGAATCATGGAAGCTCGCGTCCTCTGAGAGGCTAGGCGGTGCCGCTTCCAGGATATGAGGTTGCGGCCGAGGGAGAACACGCGCTCGCTCGACGCGGACGTGGCAGGGATGGCAAGATAATCCCGGGCCATGCGCCTCAGCGTCTGCATGTTGGTGGCGCTGCGCCAATACTCCAACGCTGACACGTCGCACCGCACCCTCTCTGATAAGTACCTGCCAACCTCGTCATCCTGCACCATCCCACCCCTCCCCGCCTCCTGGCTCGCCGACAGACGCGCCGCAAGGCGTCGGCGACTAGGGAGAAACTCGGCGTCTTCGTCGTCATCCGCCGCGTCTCCCTCCTCCTCCTCCGTCACTGGGGCAAGTGGGGTCGGCTGAGGGGCAATCGCTGCAGCCCGGGCCTGGTACTCCGCCACGCGTTCGCGAACCAGCTGGATCACCTCGCCTGACGAGGGATGAGGCCTCGCCCTCCGCTCCGTGTCGGGATGCAGCGTCTCCCAGTGCGCGTCGTCGAACCACGCCGCCTTCATGGAAGGGTCCAGGAAGGTGGCGATCCACAACTCGTTGCTTGACATCAACTCATACTTCTTCAAGAGACCCAGCGCCGCCTCAATCATCGGCTTCAGCGTAGCCGATGGCCCCTTGGCAAGGCGCGACTCCATAGCGTCGATCAGGCCGTTGTAGTACGGCAGGACCATCGACACTGTAGGGTACGCCGCTCCCTCTGCGGCCTTGGAGACTTTGGCGAATGGGCTGAGGAAGGTCTTGACAGAATGCATAGTCTCCCAGTCTGCGTCCGTCAGGCGCAAGGTGTCCATCTTCGCCTTGTCAGCCTTCGACACGCCCTGTCGGGTAGAACGTAAGGGTGGGTGACGGATAGATTGGAAAGTGGGGTGGTTGGGGTTGTTGGAGGTCCCTAAAGTTGAGTCAAGCATGGCCAACAGTGGTGCAAGTCCCAGAAGAAAACACCCCGACCGACTTACCAACACATAAAACAGCGTACACAACACCTGGCGCACACACACACCTGTGTCTGGGCAAAGAAGACAGTGATGGGTTCCTGCAGAACCCCGGCTCGCTCGACCATGTCGTGGGTCGACCCCCAGCGTGTGGGGCTGTCCTGCACCAGCTTCAACGCTGGCTTCGGTTTGGCGGGGTTGCCTTGTGCGTTCAGAGTCCGCTGAAGGCCCAAGAACTTCCCTGAGCGCTGCGGCGAGTATCCTATCCACGAGGCCATGTCTCTCAGAATCTTCAGCAACTTGCGGATGGCG